TACCGGACACCCTGTATATATGGCAAGTATTTATTTTTAATTCCCTTATTTCAAATGCCATTTCGCATATACAAATTAAGTTTTAGTAAAATTGTAACTTCATATTTGTTAATATTTTATATATGCAAACTTTATATTTATAAACAAAATATATCTTAACTAATACATATTCCATCTTTTTGACATCTATTAAAAAGATTTATACCATTGGTATACTTTTATTAGCAATTAATATTTATAGGTCATCGGAGCATCGGTTCTCGGACGAACACAAGGTTAAGCACGTTTCAGAAGGTTCATGGCTTGGATGGGTGACCGCTTTAGGAATTTCCGTAAATAAGTATATCGAATTGGCGATCATTTCTCATTCAGGGAATGATCAAGAATGCATCAAAAATTTATGCAATTTGACATCATTTTGACAAACTAAAATTTGATCTTATTTTTATGTCATTTTGATCTTTCTGTTCTCCTTGGGCAAGATTTTGATTTATGATCAATGTCAAATCGATTTCGCAGTTTGAATCGACAGGAGGTCGACGTGGGAGTCAAAAAGACATCGATGTCGATATCAATTTCGATCTCATTTCGAACCCACTTTTCGACGTCGAATCGACGTCGGGTCGACAAATTGTTTCTCTGGGAAAGCGGACGGAGGAAACGCGGGGGAGGGGAAGGTTATTGACACACAGTTCTACGTTTGCCGGAGCAGGGTCAACCCTAGCTTTAGTGAAGAGTATCCAGCTGGATTTGGAAGAAGATAATTCCAAACCCTAATTGCTTCTTAGGAACTACCAAACGTTGTCAAGCGCCTCCTGCAACACCGAGGCAACCCTTCCCACAGATTTATCTGTGGCAAGAAGGACGATATCATCCGCATATTGCAGGATGCGGACGCCCTGTGGGATACACCTGAATATCAGCCTGAAATAGATGTTAAAAAGTATCGGGCTAAGGGTTGAACCCTGAGGGGTGCCTTTATACGAAAAAAGGGGCCCTGCAGCTCACCTTCCTTTACTACGAAGATTTTCCTCATACTTGTGAGATTCTCAACAAACTTCCGACATTTTGCAGGGACACCTATGTCCGCGAGATCTTGGATCAGAAGGTCCGGGCAGACGTTATCGAACGCACCCTGGATATCGAGGAAAACCGCGATGGAGTGTTCCCCTAATAGAAAGCCTGAATGAATGAAGTTAGTGAGGGCGCAATAAATTGTCCGCGCAGGATTTACCCGGGCGGAAGCCACATTGGAAATCCGAAAGAATGTGCCTCGACTCAAGCAGCCAACTAAGCCTGTAACAAATAATTTTCTCCATGATTTTGAGCAGGCAAGAAAGGAGCGAGATCGGCCTTAAACCTCCAACTTTAGGTAGGAAGATAACTAGAGAGATATACTAATCCTCTGGGAACCAGCCCGAGGTGAGTATGAAGTTGTAGATTTCTAAGAGCTTAGAGAAAAAATTAAGTGGAAGCGATTTGATCATACCATAATCTATTTGGTCAAGGCCTGGAGCCGACTCGGATTTGGAAGAGTCTATAGCTGTGTTAATTTCTTCTAGCGTGATATTCAGATCCAGCTCTGAAATGAGGCCGGGGTTAACAGCGTCTTGAGATTCCATATTTTCTAAAGATGTTCTATTATCGCAGCGACATGAGTCCGGACAAAGTTTGGAAATGGCCTTATTCAGTTCCGCGGGGGAGATGCCAGATGAGAAGCCATCATTGTTGTCGTTAAGATTACGGTTTCTAAACATTTTGATCATTTTCCAAAGCTTAGATGTGGGTGTTTTATTATCAAACGTACTGCACAGCTTTTTCCAACTTTGCCTCTTTAATTTTTTGAGCGACTTGGCAACTGACGCCGAAACTTTTTTATAATTGGTGAAGTTTTCCATGGAGAGGTGATTTTTAAAAAGACTCATGGCCTCTTCCCTTTCGTCTATTTGCGCTTGACATTCTTCACTCCACCAAATGAGGGGAGACCTGTAATTTTTGACAGAGATTGAACGGGGTGTCAGGCTCTTTTGAGAACATAATGTCGAAAGGTTGGATTTGATTATGCTAACGAAGCTGTCATACGCTCCCGAGTCCTCTGTGACACGTAAATCGGAAAGAGTCCCTTCGTCTTTCAGGAGACCGAGGTGGAAGCGTTCCCTCTGGTACTTATTTAGTTTGATCTTATAAATGAACCTTTTCTTCGGCCTCAATTCTCCACCTAAATCAATTGCAAGAGGGAAGTGGTCACTGCCCATTGTCTCTGAGAGCCTACGGTAGAAACAAAGAGGAGCAAAGTTTGGAGTAGCTATTGCGAAATCTATTATTGAAAGCGAGGAGCGGGGGGGAGGGGGGGAGGGTTAGCAGCGTCGGCAGCCTATTGTTGAGAATAAGAAGATCAAGGTCATCTATCACCTTTAGCAATGCAGTACCCGTACTATCCGTCCTACTATCGCCCCAGGACGTATGGTGCGTGTTGAGGTCACCAACTAAAAGAGCGCTTTTATGCAGCGTAAGTAAATTGAAGAGAGAGGCAAAAGCAGCAGCAGAGGTACGTTGACTGGGGTGCCTGTAAGCATTTATAATAAGCACGGGTTCTTCAAAACAGTTTAACTTGAGACCCACTATTTCCAGCGAGCCGTGTAGAGGTGGTTTTGGCAGAAGCGGTGAAAAACTAATTACGTCAGTAGATGTATAAGGCGGGTTCTAACTAGGGAGCTCCGAG